GATTGTCAGTTAAATATCCAAGAGGAGAAAAACAGTTTGTATGTATTTCTAAGTCTTGTCAGAATATGGTGAATAACTCCTTAGATGATTGTTTCTGCTTTAGATCCTGAGGATGAGGATTTCTTAATAACCCCAATACATGAGTTTCTTAAAGAAAAATGGAATGCAGCCTATGCTTGAAGAAGCCGTGGGGCTCTGTGTGTGGGGGTGTAGGGGAGAGGCGGTGACCAGCAGGAACCTTTGTTGGTGTTCCATCAACACAGAGAAAGCAGCATGGAGCAAGGATCAAGGTGAGGCATTTCATGGCATTTCCAGGAATAGCAAGGAACTGCCTTTGGCTAACGTGTAGGGTTTATAAAATGTTGTTAATCAAGACCTCAACACCATGTGTGCAGAGAAGGCCGTTGGAATCCATGGCTGCCCTCGTTCCTAACTTCCAACCTTTGGATCCTCTCTCCTCCCTTCCAGTCAGTGCGGTCTGAAGTATGATGATCACGGTGTGGAAGTGAGGGGCAGAGAAGAGGGGCCAGGTGTAAGACTTTACAGAAGCAGAGCAGACAGGATAGGACATTACACAGATTGTCTGCCAGGAACTCTCATAGAAACTTGATACCCCAGAAGAGTTAGGTCCTGCTCTGGAAGAACTTACAGCCCAAGTAACAGGGGTGAGGGAGGTGGGGGGGTGGGGGGAAGGAAAGGGGAATCAGGCATGTCAACAAAGGAGTGGAAACCACATTATGTACTTCCCCAGGAGTCCATCCAGGGTCCAGAAGTGGAGGCCGTCAAAGTGTCCCTGACATACAGTACCTTCTTCCCCCCGTCCCCGCCCCCCTCCACCGCCCTGCCCACAAGACCTGTTGCTATTCCCTCATCTCCTCTCAATTCTGTCTTCTGACACTTGCCTTCACTCACTGCTGATCCTTCCATAATTTTCACCCCCAGGGCAGTGTTATTTTCTCACATTTCAGTATATTGAAAAGTTCCTGAATCACCCAGTTAGGTTGTTGTGTGTCCCCTTAAATCAATGCATGTTTTTTGCACTTGGGCCTTGCTTTATGCAGCCTCCGTCGCCTTGCTGGCCTCACCATGCTCTGCGATTGCCTTGGACCCACCTCGAAGGCCCCCCTCTTACTGAACCCCAAGAACATGTCTGGCCAAGGAACATTCTATTTGGGTGTTTTCTTGGTCATTTGTTTGTTCACACATCTGTTTGTTTAGGAGTAGTTTACACATGCTTATATGTTATGCCCCATCTCCTTCTGGAAATACTTGAGAATGCTTGCATGAATATGATTAGGTCAGCAAAATCAACGAACCAGGTAAAGGTGATGTAGCTCAAAGGCACGGGTTCTGGTCTGAGGTGAGAGGCTGTGTGCTGGTTTTAGCTGCCCAGGGAAGTGGGGTAGAAAAAAAAAATTAAAGCTGCTGCCTGGTGCTGTCCTTGGTCCTGTCACAGCCTTCCTGCATGACTCTGCCTGTGGCCAGGGAGGTCCCTGCTGCCACCCACCTCCATCCTGCCAGAATTTGTTCCACTTCCTTCCTTGTTGTTGTATGCCATCCATAGCTTTGCTGACTTCTGGCTTCTTGTCACCAGCTCACCCATGACCTGCCCTCACTTGGGTTTCTGAGCTCTTGCATTTCATCACTTGGACCGGTCCAGACACTTGCTCAGCAGCCGTTGGAAGAGGCTGGAGATCTGGCAAGAGAGCCTTTTTTGTAAATATTTTCCTCATTTTTTAAAAATTCATTTGCTGAGTGTTGCTCCCCTACAAAGGTTATTTCTGTGAGCCTATCACTACAGAAAGCTTATTTTCTCCTATTATTATTTCACAACTGGCTTTACATTAGCTTCGAGTAGCCCTTTATATGTCTCATAATATGCAGGGTGAGTCTTATCTCCTTCCCGTGGTGGTGACATAAATCTTGTCCTGTTACATTTCTGCCAGCCCACAGTGATAATTGAACCTGATCCAATGGGTTTAAAGTCTAAGGCTCTTAAAGAGACCTTTAATCCTCTTGTTCATTTAAGATAGATTAATTTTTTTTCTATTTTCCTACGAGAACATGATCCTCTTTTTAACGTGTTCAGCTTTAGTTTTGTAGGTGCAGATATACGAATCTTGCTTTAAGTAGATTTGATACATAGAAGCGTGGATTTGCTTGAATCATTAAAAACAACTTCTCATCATTAATCCAAAAAGCAGGAAGAAGTTGTATTGACATGAATTATTTTAAAATTAGGATTTTTAAAGCCACAATTGTAGAAAACCGGTATTAGTATATTATAATTGGCATATCTTATTCAGAGATGTTTAGAGCCTTATGATAACAATAATAGTGGTGCATTATGCAGTAACAATGGAAATTATATTTGCAAAATAGTAGTAATAGGACATTCTGAAATGTTAGAACTAGAAGATTCACAGGGTCAGAGAAAACTGTGTTCTAATCACAGCCTTTGGCTCTCTGTGCTCCTCGGGCCACACTGCCCCTGGGCTGCGTGAGACAGACCAACCTGTGCAATCTGATGGAAGTGGAGACTTTTCAGTCACGGACATCAAAAGGGGGTGTGGATGTTGTTATGTATGAATATAATTTTTGATCTTTAGAATGGATTAGCGTTTTGTAAATGAAAATTGGATTTTCAAAGAAAGCATATATTTGTTATGATTTAGTCTAATAATTTGGTTATTTTCCAGTTGCTCATAACTTCTGATGAACTGCTTATCTTAAAAATGTTTGGAAAAAATATGTAAAGTGCATTCCTCTATATTTCATAATTATAGCTTTTAGGCCAATTTTAGGCTGATTAGCTTTACCGAACCCTTTAATACTTTGATTTATTGATCATTCAACACATGCAAACTCAGAGAAAACCATAGTAAAACAATAAATCTATAAGGAACCTAAGAAATTCTTGACTATGTGAATTGGTGTAACAATTGTTGATATTTGGTTTTGAATATTTTCTGTACCAATTAGAAAGTATTTTGAAGTTTTGATAAAATATCGCCTTTGGCAGGTTAATCACTCTCATTCAGGAATATTCTGCCTAAGACTTCAAAAATTAAATAAAGCCAAGGAAGTGCCAAGGACACAGAGATAGAAAAAAAAAAAAAAAGACAAATTAATTCAGTTGCATCCAGTTGACAAGAATTATTTTAGCCTTGTGTATGTTCACATGGAACCTTCTTTGCTTTGTTTCTTTCAGAAAAGAAAGTTGGTTTTGTCTGTTTTAAGTTTTCCTCTTTCATTTTGAAACTGTTGAACCAACCAGCTGGTTTATAGATATCTACCCTTTTCTTCGGCCTCTTGGTAATCTTGGGGTTGTTAACATCATCATCCCTTTTTCTCTGATAGATCAGGAGGTACTATCCAAGGCAAGAGGATGAAAGTGTCTCACACAGGATCTCAGGATGCTGGGCAAAGACCCTTTTCTTGGAGCAATTATGTCTACATTCTATGCATCGTCTCCATCCACCTCTGAAATCCCACAAGAAATGCTACCTCTGCACTGAGAGCCTCATGACTCAGCTGCATCTGGGAAACTTATCAAACAGCCATGTGCTGAGAGAGAGGAGAGGTCGGGGCAGAATTAGTCTTGGTCCTCACCCATCCCTCTACTTCCTTATCCATCCCTCAAATATCCTACTTCCACGGGCTGGATCTGGCGGCTTCAGTCGGCACGTCCTGAAGGGCTGCTTAGTGTGGCGCTGCCACTTCCTGGGGAGCCTGCCTTTGCTCTACTGCAGGGGAGCCTCCATCCCCTTCGTTCTAGTCTGTGTCTGAATGTCATCCCCTTCCTTGGTGGTCTATCCACTTCCACTTCTCCTTATTCCTTGGCAGTCAGCTTTACCTAATCCCTGTCTGCGGGTGGGGCTGCTTTACTGAGATGATAGATGTAGAAAGCAATTCTTTTGGCTGGAAAGTGCTCTGCCAATGTGAAACGGTGATGTCGGTAACAATACTTATATGCACAGACCTTCACTAGCTCCCCAGTAGCACCTTATTTTGCAAACCCAAGCCTTTTAGGGACTCAGAGGTACTATTTTTCCTCTTGTGGTTTATTGGGGGGAGGCGGGGGCGGGCGGGGGTTAGAATTGTGTAGTGATAAGAACACGGGGCAGATTTGGTTGTAACTTTACCTCTGCCTCTCCAGCTGTGTGGCGGGATGGGCCATGGTGAGTCTGTTTCCTGAACTCTACACAGGGACACTGAGAGAATCACCCTTTCAGAATGGGTGAGGGCGGTACCTGGATATTGCAAGGTGAAGCACTTAGCATAGTGCCAGGTCCATATCGGTGCTCGGTGAAGAATTAGCTTTCATTGCTTTCTATTATTCTAATGGGTTTTGTGCAAAGCCAGCAAAAAGGAGCTGACGCTCATACCTTAATTAATTGTAAAATCTCTATCACCCTACTCTTTTTTCCATATTTATCTCATCCAGAATGTGAATTTGTATTCATTAAATGAACAGAGAATGGTATTTTTACTTAAAAAAAAAAAAAGAATTCTGTGCTGGTATATACTTTTTAAAAGAAATCATGACATAATACTATATTTTTTTTTTTACGAGTCCAATATTCCTGAGAACGCTTTCCCTGGCTTCCAGTCCTGGTGAAGTTGGAGTGGCACCGCTCTGTCTGGGCACACTGGGTTCCTCTGCGCAGCACGTGGGTTTCTGGGGAGAGGCTGTGGGCGCAGAGCTTTGTGATACACACAGTCCAGCATCTCCTTCTCTGGCATCCGTTCCAATTGGTCAGAAAGTACGAGGGTCTGTTATGACTTCTGGCTGGCATCCAGTTATTTGTATGTTAATATTTGGTGTGGCGTGAGGTTAGAGATTTATAAGTGACCATCTGAAAAAGACCGTTAAGTCTAAAACTTGAACAAGTCTATTTTCTGGGGAAGTAGTTCAACGGCAATGCTCCTGATGGCACAGTGGCATTTTTAGCCACGCTTATTGAATATGCTGGTCTCCATTTATCCTTATGTTACAGATTGATGTCCTCAAAGCAGATCTAGAGAGCGCAGAATGGAAAGTTTTGGAGAATCTTATTCTGGAAGATGTCCTTGAACAGATCGGACAGCTCGTCTTCGAGATCCATCTCCACTGGCCCGGGTTCGAGGTCAGCGGCAGCGACAGCAGTGTGGTGCGGTTCTGGTACAGCCTCCTCAAAGAGTTAGAACTAAATGACTTCAGGCTTTTTCACAGTTACAAGGACTTATCTAAACCTCAGCTCTTCCTGAAGAAAGACATTTTCAATGCAAGTAGCTGTTATACTCTTGGTTGGGTAAATACCAGGTGGAAGTAGGATGCAGGGTCTCATCAAAAACTCAAGGAAGTACTTGCAGAGTGGAGTATGTCCATGATCCTCATTATCGTTTTGCCTTCTCCCACTCGCGTGCTTCCTGCTTGAGGCAGGCGTTGTTATTGCCCTTGTGCGTGTGGGCTGGCGCCTGCCATGAGGTAGGGCACAGTTACCACTTGTTGAGGGGCGGACACAGGAATGCCACAGGAGTCAGCCGTCATCTGCCCAGACCAGGCCCTTTGCCTGTCTGCCTCTGACAGAGTGGGGATGCTTGTCTTCATTTTTATTTGGAAGATAACCCCCCACTCACCTCAGTTTTCTCTCAAGTTCATTATGTTTCTATAGGGTGCTCAAAAAATGTATTCACACTTCAACAGCTTTTGAAAATGAAATGTATTTTCATGCACATTGCCTTAATAATTATTCCAAGGTGAGCATACATTTTGGGGGACACCCTATATAATTCGTGAATTCACCAACATGAAAAAGAAATTACATACATTTTCCATTCTCACGGGGTTGATGAGACTCTTGGGTGTGTTGCCTGCTGTTTACCACAGGACCTTGCCTTTGGCTGGAACTAACCTCTTCCCTGTTCTCCTTGTGCTGCTGGTCAGGAGTGTCCTTTACACCGTGTGGATTTCCGTCACTCCTCTCGGGCCTTGGCTGAGGCTATGCCATGGTTTTATAAGAACTGCTGGCTCTAGTATCTGGGAACAGACACACCAAATTCTGTCACCGAGTTTAAGACTAGACAGCCATGAGCTGCAGCTCAGCAATCTTTCCATAGCAGCCTTAAATCCCCATCTGTTCCTACCAGTTAAGCACAGAGCAGAATTTGAGTGTCATTATTGTTGCCTTTTCTGGCTTCACACCTGATTTCTCAACCACAGACTCACCTATGCTGTTAATTCTTCACACACACACACACACACACACACACACACACACGGACATGGTCTTAAAGATGGTAGGGTCAGTCTCTTTCCTGGTATGCTTACACAATGTTTCCATAGCACCAATCCTTTTTACTTTAAAAGAATTTTAAGCAGAAAATACAGGTTCTCAATAGTTCAAGTGATTTTTTTTTAGTTCTATTTGCAGGATTAGACATTTACCCCCCATGAATAATTTTTAAAATTCTATTTTAAATAAATTAATTATATAGTATAGAATAAACCAAATTAGTATCTTATTATAAGTTAATTATACTTTCTGACACTTTTTACATACCAACAGAGCAGGAAAACCATGCCATACATGTTTGTTTAAGAAATTTGGGGAGGGAATAGGATACTGGTTACTACTAAACTTTATTCCCTTTCCCATTTTTTTTTTTTTTTTTTAAATCTTCCACTTGAGACATTCCCTGGGTTAGCTTTTTGGTTTCTGCAGTAGTTTGAAAATATCATTCCTCAAGTGAGAAACCAAAATATATTAGAGTTGGATCATCTCACAAATTTGGGTTCAAAGGAAACAAGACTTTCTGAATTAGTGGTGATTTTTAAAAACATAAATGAGGGCCATAACTGGTTTGGCTCAGTGGATAGAGCGTCGGCCTGCAGACTGAAAGGCCCCCAGGTTTGATTCCGGTCAAGGGCATGTACCTTGGTTGTGGGCACATACTCAGTAGGGGGTGTGCAGGAGGCAGCTAATCGATGTTTCTCTCTCATGGATGTTCCTAACACTCTACCCCTCTCCCTTCCTTTCTGTAAAAAAATCAATAAAATATATTTTAAAAAACAAAACAAAAACTAAACAAAACATACATGAGGTTTCTGTTTTAAAAACCATAGTACACTAATAAAAGTCAGAGGTGGGAGGATAAGCTTGCTTAAGTGTGATTTGTAACTGCATTTTAGCTGCTTTCACTGTCCACAGGAATTTCAGAGGCACAAGGGCCCATAAGAACTCTAAAGTTATTGATTTGCTTGGCATAGCCTCCAAAACAAAGTTAACTTTTAGTCCAGTTCCTGTTTGGATTATATCACAGATTCTCTTTTATTTTTTTTTTCATAAAAATTCTACACACTGAAGTATATACAGTAGATGTTTTTATACATTCAATCCTTTAAACCTTCTTATACATTAACATATGAAGTATGATCTTAAGTGTCCAGATGCATACACAATCATATCAAGATTTTTAATTTATAGGCTGAAGACTTGGGCATTACTGAAAGCCCCCTTTTGTACAAGGCAAGTTACCATTTATTCCAGATTGGTGCTACAGAACACTGACTTCATCACACACACACTCTCTCTCTATATATATATATATCAGAAGCAAGAATGGGTGTACTGTTTTTTTTTTTAAAAAAAAGAGATTAACTCAAAATAAATCACAAACACACCCGCCCACACCCACCTACAAGGCAGCCTGTTCAGTAGTTATTCATACTTATTTTATGCTTATTTCTAAGACTGTCCTTCATCCCCTTTATGGAGAGCTTGGAATTTCTGATGAATTTCTGACTGTTGCTATGGTTTCCCTGCCTGCAGAATTTATTATGATTATTGTGTTGGCCAGGGTTTCTTAACCTTAACACTACTGCCGTTTTGGGCTGGATCCTTCTTTGTTGGGAGAGGAAGTGCATTGTAGGATGCTTAGCAGCATCTCCCCTGGTCCCACTAGACACCAGAGCACCTTTCCCCTCCCCTGTCAGCTGTGACAACCAGTCTTGTCTCCAGAGGGTGCCACATGTCCCCTAGGGGGCAGAATCCCCACTATGGAGAGCTGGGGTCGACCATGAGAAATGGTCTAGGTTACCAGAGCACTAGTGTTTGGGAAGATGCTGTGGTGAAGAGCAGGCAAAACCGTCACAGAAGAATTCAAAGTACAAACAAACAAAATCAAGGGCTATTATTTATTAAGCACTTCCTGTGTGCCCAGCACTGTCATGGATTATTCCTAATTCTCCCAACAATCCTCCAAAGAAGTATAATTTTCCCAAATGACATACACAGGCTAGAAAACTCTGAGCAGTTGGATAGTTCATTCAGATCATTCAACTAACACTAGTAGATGGTGGGGCAGGAATCCACTTCTTGGCCTGTCAGATCCCGAAGCCCATGCTGGTCCCTCCACAATGCTGCCTCCATAGCCTCTAACAAATGGAAGATGCTTCCTTCAAAGTACATATTTTGCCTTTCTATTAGTAAATGGGGGTGGTTGTGGTAGTGGGGGGACGGCTACAAATATACTAAGACCAGACCTGCAAATCTATTAGAGTTGGGGTTATTTTTATAGCACTAAGGTTTAATTTTAAAAGCCTACTTCATTAAAGTATGCTTGCCAAATGGAGACTTACTGACAAAACCTGGGGTCCCAACGAATTCTCTGTCAATATGTTCAGGTTGCCAGGAAAGCTCTTGCAAGGGCTTGGAAGTGACTCTTGGCCCTGGCTCATCCCAATACTTGGCACTTTCCCTCCTGGGTTTTAGAAAGGGCACAGTCACCTGGAAGTGTGGTGTGAGTTCCCTTTGTTTCAAACTAGGTTTTGATCCCAGATAAATGAGCTCTGATGTGAATACCTGCAACATAATTAACTCTTACCAGAGCGGTGCTCTTAAGTGAATCTGAAAAAACAAATTTAATAATAATGCTCTTATCCAGTGATAGGAAAAAAAACTGTTCTTTTTCAGATGAGAAAACACGTGAGGGTGTAAGAGATTCAGTGGTCACCTTTTAGCCTAAACTCTGTTACAACTTGAGATTAAAGTAAAACAATTTTTCCTTTCCCCTTTTCTTAGAGAGATTGTATTTGATGCAGTTATACTAGGTTATTATATAAATATTTGCAGCTATTTGACATGTGCAAATGGAGAGAGCCAGGGAGAAGTAAACTTCCGTCAGAATTGACTGACCAGCATGATGTTTACATCAGGGTAGAGCAAAAGTAAATTCAGGAATGTACAGTGTTTACATTGACTTGGCTGTTCATGTAAGCATCTCTGCCTTGGCTGTAAGAGGTTAGCATATAATAAATACAGCAGAAGACTTGCATTTCCTAAGTATTTTATGTTGGGATTTTGCAAAACTTGGATTTATACCAGAAAACTAGCTTCATCGTGTTTTGCCAGATTAAAAATGAAGGCCTTAAACAGATTATTATACTTAACAATGCAATGGTAGCTCCAAGCTCAATTAATGTAATCTGTTCTTCTAAAGATAAATTTTGTTTTCCTTTTAAGCACTAACATAAATTTTTTTTTAAATTAGCCAATTGCTGGCTCTGTGGATTCAATAAAACACTTAAACTTGGGTTAAAATGTCTTCCTTTTTCTTTTTTTTACATTGAAAGAGATATCTGACCTTTACTTATCACATGAAATCATACCCCCAAATGTAGTATATTTTTAAACTGCCTAAATTTAGAAATTATTGACATTCTTTAAATAATGTTATTGTATTTCTGTCCTTAAGAAAAATAAAGTAAGCAAACTTAATGTCATGCTTTAAGTTTAGCACTCTATGGAAAAAAAAATGCTAGTTCCCAACACATTAAAACCAATGCTTTGTAAAACCAGCAACTTTATATGATTGTATAAAATACTGCAAGGTTTTTTTTAGAGGTTGGTTTGGTGCAATGAGTTGAAACAATAAGAGATTTATTTTCCTGTCAATTTTGAATTCTAATCTAGACTATTCCAACAGAGGAGCCCAGTATACCCAGGGCAGATATGCAACCGATATGTACCAGGAAGCTATAGTGGTTGGTAAGTAGCTGCGGTCCTGACTCATTCTCCTCCACGGCAGTTCCTCCCACAGAACTCCCAGACCTCTCCAAGATCGAGCAGTAAATGCACATGAGGCAGCTTGTAGGACCTGCCCTAGCACAATGGTTAGCTTCTCTTCTAACTGCTCTATGTCCTATGTGACTGGCCATTGGATAGTTTGATGTCACAACTGGGTGGGTAAAGATGATGGGCACAGGTCCAAGTGTGTGCTAAAACATGAATGAAACCACAATCAGGTCAAAAATAAGCTATTATCTGTACAA